GATTGCATTGGCTCTAAGTAAATTGCATTTCTCTGCCATTTTCTTGTTGATGATGTTGACCTGACTGATCGTTACAGCCTGTCATGGTAACACCTGTTTTACTGAATAATTTTGTTTGTGGATTATCGAATGAATGATGTCAGATGATATAAACCCAGTTTAAACTGTTGTTTAAAATGTCGTTGCTTTAGTTCACTGAATGCTTCGTGGTTGGGCCTCATTTTTATGTGTCCATATAATAAATGGATACATTGCAACAAGGGAAATTTAAGTTGGGTGTTAAGAAAAACTTTCTAACTTTGAGAGTGGTTGAGCATTGGAACAGATCACTCAGAGAGGTTGTGGAATGTCCAACTTTGAAAGTTGTTAAGAGCAAGTTAGGTGGACACTTGGATGAGAGGTAGAATGAGCCTGCCTTGAACAAGGTGAGATTACATGATCTCCTGAGGTCCCTTCTACCCTATTTTTCTATATTTCTATAGGGCCACAATGACAAGTGCTAAATAAGTCTTGGTGCTTCAAAACCCCAGAAGAATGTCTATTTCCATGCCATTTTATATCTCCACCACCCCCCCGTATCATTATTTTAACAGCTTTATAGGAAACATTTGCCTATTTTTTGTATGGTAATTAAGCTCCAGTAGGGCAATGATTAAGAAAGACAAGTGGCAATCTACCTCCTCTCTTTTCATAAAATATGATTACCACTCTTTCTGCCACTGGTACCCATTCCACATTTTGGGAGCCATAAGATTGCCACATGATGGTGTCATTCCTTTATCGTTACTGCACAGTGCTACAGAATTGAGCACAGCTTTGCTACATACATCAGAGAATCCTGGAGCATACTTTGAGTCTACCACAGTAGAAATGGCATTCTGCAAGTATATAATGGCAGTACGCCATCTGACACATCTCTTATTCTAGTAACAATAATTAATGAAATCTCCTTGGCTCTAGAATGTATCTTTGAAGAGAAAACCTTTATTTTTATAATGATGCTCTGTATGTGAGATTCGTGATTTAAGAGAACTATACTAGGATCAAGTGTACAGGGGGTTTTTCTTAGTTTGATTTTAAAACTTGTCTTCTGACAAACTTAATGGGTCAAACTGGTTTATGCAACGCTTGTCCCAGATCCCTTGCTAGTTTAAGTTAAACCAGAGTCCCTCAACATCCTGACATGCTCTCTGGGCTGGGTGGGGCTCTCTGTTTTACAGCAGAGCTGGCTTCTCCCCTCTGCTCCCTGGCTGGAGCTTGGCAGAGACTGCAGGCGTCTGCCTGGCTTTCCCCTACTCCCCCTCCTCCCTTCCCCACTCCCTGATCAGCAGGGATTGCCCTGTCCCCTCTGCCTTACACAGACACCTCTCATCATTAACTAGCAGACTGCATGCTGGTTACGGTCCTTGCTGTGGCAGACAAGACAAAGGCAGAATCAATGGGTAGCTGGTAATGTCTCTCTGTTGTTTTCTTAATGGGGCGATAAACACTGAATTAGAGGTGATAAACACTGTGTTATCAATTCCCTCCTGGGCTGGTCAGGGGTGGGGAGAGGGCCATCTTGCCAGGGCCTGGCCATGCCACCCTCAGCTTAGCTCTGTGGAAGGAAAGGGAGGGCTGCTGTAGCACCCCCCAGCTTTTAGCCTGAGGCATGTGCCTGAATTTCTGGGGTGTCTGTACAGTTACAAACTGATTCAACTAGCCACGTTAGACTAACTTGCAAAGATTGAATCAATTCACCCTGAATGTCTGTCCCTAGCCAATATGGTTGAAAAGGAACTGATCACTAAAGAGGTACCACTAAACTGTTCACAACTGCTTGATTAAAAATCATATAGAAAAGAATTGTGATGTAATGAAAGCTACTTTAGAATGTATAACTAATCTGGTCTGTTATATTAGGAAGAAAAGGAATTGGGAGAGAGAAGAGCAGCAGAGCTAACTCGTCTGACTGGACTCTTTATTCTAAGAAGAACGCAAGAGATCATAAACAAATTTCTCCCTCCAAAAAAGGAGAGCATACTCTTCTGCCGACCAACAGCCTTGCAGCTTGAACTCTATCAAAAACTGCTTAGTTCTCGCATTGTTAAATCTTGCCTACAAGGGGTCTTAGAAAATAGTCCTCATTTGATATGCATCGGAGCTCTGAAA